AAAGCTGAATTCCATTTTGAATGCCTTATTTATTTGGTTTTGGAAAATCCAGTGTTCTGAGTAACGGTCTCTGCCTTTAACTGTGATGCAAGCTTGTTCACTCCACACTGAGACCACATCCTTCCTGATCTTGCTGGTCTGTGACTGATATAAGTTCATTGTGTTTCCTCTGTGCTGTTCCTGAGGCTGGTGTCTGGGTGAGTTGGGGTCCTTTGAGAAGGGGGGCTAAAAGGGCTGGTGGTGAATGGGGAGGATTTGTATAGCAGCAGAATTTGTCTCGGTTAATGAACTAAGAATATATCATGTTACCCACCAAGTTGGCATTTCAACAACATTTCTGGTTTTTATGTTTATCATTTTATGTTCAACATTTTATGTTTCTGTCTTTTATGTTTATCATTATTTGTGCCTTATGTGTTGGAACAAGTGTATGCATGTGGAGAGAGAGAGAGAGAAAAGACAGTAGGCAGGAACAGAGGACACCCAAGCCTTCATCAGATTTACTAACCCATTGTCTCAGAGATTCTGACGGATGACATAAATGTGGAGAATTTGCCTATTCAAAATCTAAGGGCAGCTGGAAGATCAGGTCAGAATACAGTGTACTCGGACTGGGCTGCTTGAATGAAGAGGTGAGATAGAATCTGGATTGTGGACAGTGAAGTATCGAGAAAGTTTAATGAAGCAGGAACTAGGAAGAGGCAAAGAAGCAGATGGGCCTGTGTGGGGAAAGAATGCTTCATAGATGCAGAGGGGAATGGGCAGGGGGCAAATGTATTACATCAAAAGTGAGGGGCAAGACTAGAGATGGAATAGAAGTAGCAAAGGAGATGAGGTTTTGAGATGTCTTCTTGGACATTGGAATTAAGTTAATTAGAAATTCAAGCTTAATATCTTCATTCAAGCATGATTTCTTTTGCCATAATTTGGAACTTGGGTTAATACATTTATTTCAGGGAGGCACTGGGTGGTATAAATGTTTAATATACTTAGGTGCAAACCAAAATGTTAGAGGTTTGAGTCCACTTAGATGCAACTTGTAAGAAAGACCTGACAATTTACTGATAAATTAGCCATTGAAAAAACTCTAGGAAACACAGACAGAGAGAGGAGAGAGGAGAGAGGAGAGAGAGAGAGAGAGAGAGAGAGAGAGAAATGAAGTTGTCATGAGATGATACTAACTCAGTGACAACTGGTACTCGTTTATACTTTTCAAGAAAGAAACGATTAATTATCCACTTCTTCTGAAAACCAGTCACGGAATCACAGTGATCCGATCAGGGGAATCGCACAGGCAGCATTTTGTTCCACTGTGGTCACTATAAATTAGAGACTAGTTTGATGATAGCTAATAACAACAGTAGTACAAACAGTACTTTTCAAAATGCAGTAATATGGCAGATCGAGGGAGCCGTTCCAAACAGAGCCAAATCTTCTCATCCATCATTAACTTGAAATTCAGTTGATATGAGAGATCTAAATATATGAAAGGGAGCTCTTGTGACCCAGCAGTAAGGAATTATGCTGCCAACCCAAAGGCACAAAGTTCAAATCCACTAGCTGCTCTATAAGAAGAAGATGGACAATCCTCTCCTGTGAGATTTACAGCCTCCAAAAACCCTCTGGATGCTCAGCTATGGAGAGTTCCAACTAGATTGTACATAACAACATCAACAAACATAGGGAGACTTTTTAGCTTGTGTAGAACTTGAAGTTTAGTCAGGAAAATTGTGCTTGTGATCACCATAATGAAAAATTATATGCCATAATTGCTGGAGAAATGTTTATCTTTTAACATTATCTTTCCCATTTTGCTTCTGTTTCACTGAGAAACCAAACTAGACAATTCCACTATATGAGGTCAATTCCAAATCATAGCAACACTTTACTGTAGGAAAGAGTAGAATTTCTCCATAGGGTTTGCAAGGCTGTAAATCTTTATCAAACAGATGACCGCACATTTTTCCTGTGGTGTGGCTGATGGATTTGAACCATCAGTCTTTTCATTTGGCATTTCAGTGCTCAAACCAATGTGCTACAGATTCCTTGTCTAATTGAGATATCTAATTAATTATTGTTGTTGTTAAGTGCCGTAGAGTTGTAGATGACCCATAGCAACCCTATGAATGAAAGTCTTGAACACAAAACTTTCATCTTTTCTCCAAGTTCATAGAGTTTCCAGAGGCAAGCTTTTTTCTTAGTGGGGAGAAAAATAATTTCTTACCCTTTCAGCTAATATAAAGCCTAATGTGAGCAGCATGACCTCTGAAATCAGGTTGCTCCGCTTTTACATCTTGGCTCTGGTCTTCAGGTTTTGGTTGGTTGGTTGGTTGGTTGGTTGGTTGGTTGGTCAGTTGGGTGTTTTGTTTTGTTTTTTCTTAAAAATCAATTTTTATTTTATACTGATTTGCTTACAAAGTTCATACATGGTTTTTTACACCAGATCTTTTCCATTTCCTTTACCCATCCCTCCCTCTACCCTTCAAATTCAAAAATTCCATTTTACTAGTTAACTTGCTATTTCTACAATAGTCTTATATAATATTTGTCCTTACGGGACTGAGTGAATTCACGTCCCTCTCAGTTCTTAAATCTTGAAGAAGTTACTCAATATCTCTTAGTCAATTTCTATCTCCCTAAGTTGGTGAGACCAGGCTACTCTTTGGAGGCAAGTATTCTGAATCTCCTCTGACACACTTTGGACATGTTGCAAGGTGGGACCAGACCTTGGAGAGGGACATCATGCTTGGGAGGGTGGAGAGACAGCAAAAGAGAGGAAGACCCTTAATGAGATGGTTTGACTCAGTGACTGGGGTAATGTGGGTAGGTGTGTCAGAGACAATAAAATTGGCACAGGACAGAGCAGGGTTTAGGGCTGTTGTACATTGGGTCACTATGAGTCACAGTTGACTTGATGGTACATAACAGCAAAAAAATTATTAGGGGTCTAGAAAAATATCCTCATCATAAAATTTTGCTCCTATTGAGTGAGAAAATTCATCAGTGTAAACTATATTTAAGTACTAAATAAAGTGAGGTGCTCTGGTGGCCTAATGGGAAGGAGTTTGGCTACCAACCCAAAGGCACATGGCAGACCACCAGCTGCACCATGGGGAGAAAGATGGCTAATCTCTTCCCATGTGATTTCTATTCTGATCAGCTGTGAATCAGTTCCATCTAAACAACACGTAACAACAGTAAATATGTATTGCCTTATAATGATTACTGAAAGTGTACGTTTTGCAAAGAGAAGTAAAGTGATCTGTTTGCCATTCTTATATATTTTAATTCCATTTTATTTGTGCTTCTTTCACACTTCTGAAAAATTAATCCATTCTTGTCCTCTCCCATAGTTTCATGCTCTTTCCCTCCGTGTTTTTTGTCCTCTCTCCCTTGCCATATTCTTCCCCATTATCACCATACTGACTAATCTCATGCCCTCCTCTTCTCTCATGTGTCATCTGTCTGTTCTCAGTCAAAATAAAGAAGTATAAGTAAATCCGTAAATCCTTTCAGTTGAAAATCAAAACTCATTGACGTCAAGTAGGAAATGACTCCTAGCTGACCGCTGACCCTCTAGAGGGTTTTCCAAGGCTCTAAATAGCATAGGAGGAAATTGTCCATCTTAGCACAGGAGGAGTTGCTCAAACCAGGAGAAACACCACCTTTGCATTAGTAGTGCAACTCCCTATGGACTGGATCACCAGAGACTCCTTTTCAGTTGGAAGCAACTTAAACTTCTTTTTTTTTTTTTTTTTTTTTTTTTTAGGGGCACTCTGGTGGCCTAGTTGCAAGAGGCCACTTGTAATGCAAGAGGTGTGTGGTTCGAATCCACCAGATGCTCTGACAGAGAAGGAAGGAGGGACAATCTCCTCCAGTACCAGTCAGATCCTATTTGACGGTACACACAAAATATAATTATTTTTTTCCATTCTATCATTTTAAAAATGAGGAAACTACAGTTCAGAAATAGTAAAGAGTTTTTCTAAGGTTAAACCAGTCATTAGTTGAAGAAATGCTTTCCATCTATCTTCTCTCACTTTTGAGCAAATGTTCTCTCAAGAATGAGTTGAGGTGTCATTGTGAACTGGTTGGAAGAGTGGGCATACATTACATTGTGAATGCTACAAAATTTGAGAGTCTTATGGTATGTTTGGGGTGGGGGTTTTTTCCTTTTTATAGGGAAACCTTTCTTCCATGGCTCATGGCATATTTTTGGATAAGCCAACAGAATACCTTGCTGGTAAGTATTTAGTGGGAGTGGTGATTCAGTGGTAAATCTTCTTTATGAATGCTTTGTTTAATTTCCTAGCAATGCATATCAGTCACAGCCACCCAGCTGCAAGTGAAAGCTTGAGTATAGTGATGACACTGAGCAGATTTCAATGGAGCTTCTAGATGAAGATAGACTAAGAGGAAAGGCCTGGCAAAACATTTCCAAAAATTATTTGGCCTTGTCGCTAGAAGAGACCAGTCCTTGAAGAAGGGCATCATTCTTGGAAGGGAGGAGGGTCAACGCAGGAGAGGAAGACCTTGGATGAGATGGAGTGACACAGTGACTGTAGCAATGGAAGCGGATGTGTCAGAGACAGTGAGACTGGCTCAAGGGCAGGATTCAGAGCTATTGTTCATCCAGTTGCTATAAGTCATAGTTGACTCGCTGGCACATAACAACAACTAGATCCAGTGAAAGCCTTAGAGATCACAACTATTTCATTATTAACTAATACAGAAATGGTACATGACCAAGAAGCATTTTACATTCCTCGTGTCTAGGGTTGCCAGGAGTTGACAGTTAACAACACAGTAAGTCTTGGGTTCAAAATTTAAAAGTAAAGATGGTAATTCTATAAAGTCAAGCAATGGGATTTTTTTTGTCAACTTTCTAAACTTTTTTGGAGCAGGGAGAATATTTTTTAAAAGACTCTTTTCCATATACCATTTCACTTTTCCATTTTCCAGTATAGATTTATGCCCAAGGACACTGATCAGAACCACAAATGAGGATGGCAAGTGTGCGCTGCAAGCTGGCCAGTTACTTGGAGGACCTAGAGGACACAGACTTTAAGAAATTCAAAATGCACTTGGAAGACTATCCTCCCCAAAAGGGTTGCGTCTCACTCCCCCGGGGCCAGACAGAAAAGGCAGACCACCTGGACCTAGCAACCTTGATGATTGACTTCAATGGGGAAAAAAAGGCATGGCGTATGGCCGTGTGGATTTTTGCTGCAATCAACAGGAGAGACCTTTATGAGAAAGCTAAAATGAATGAGCCAGAGTGGGGTGAGTGAGAAAAAGCAAGTGTGGACTTTTTTTTTAATCAATCATCTTATCTTGGCTTTATCTTCTTCCTCTCTTAGTAATACTATGACAAGGTGGAACTAAGCCATCTACATTTTTCTATGTTAAAAACCTAGCTAAATCTTAGTTGTGTATAGAAACTTGTCCTAGTTAATTCTTTATTAGAAGAGATTCCTCTGCCTATTTCTTCATCTACACCTACAGCCACATAATGGAATCATTGTTGCTGTCCAGAGCTTGCATGAGTCAGCAGCTTTGAGTTTCTAGTTCTGATGGCTCAGGGTTTTCACCTTCCAGAATTATGTGGTTTGCATACAAGTTCTTTCATATGTCCACTATTTTAGGAGTTGGAGTGGTGAAAGATATTCTTAATCCTGTGTATCTTTTGGGGTCAGTGGTCTTTCTTTTGTCCTGGTTTTCAGAGCAAGAGAACACTATATGGTTTAAAACTAGAGAAGTATGAGGGGAGCTCTGGTGGCCTAGTGGCAAGAAGCTGTATTGCAATCCCAGAGGCTCATGGTTCAAAACCACCAGATGCTCTGCCGGGAAAGGAGGGACAATCTCCTCCTGTACCAGTCAGATCCAATTTGACCACACACACAAACACAAATAATTTTTTAAAAATATAAAAAAAAACAACACTAAAGTATGAGTCAGGGTTGGATCCTCTCTTCAGATCTATTCCATTTGTATACTGAGCAAGAGAAGGACAGAAAAACATCAGAGGAACCTGGGAAAACACAAAATACAATGTCAAGCAAGTAGTGGTAGAAGAGAGAAATAAAATGAATTAGTAAATAAATAATTGGTGTAGTAGCAGAGCTCTAATAAGGGAGAATAATAATACAATAAGAGATAAAATTAAAATCCCAGGTAGAATGAGCCTAGAGTGCATTGTACTGGGATGTTAAAAACAAATTAAGTGCCATAATTATGGTTGTGCCAGTAACTTTATATTCATATAAGCTAATTATAGTATAATGATAATACTAATATGGCTTCTTTGTCATGTTCATTAATTTTGTTTGTGCCTTAAAATAACCCTGTGAGTTAGATGTCTTTATGCAAACTTTCAAATGAGCAAAGCTAGCTTTGAATAAGGATAGGACAGGGTTAATATCTGTTGTTCATAAAGTCATTGTGCATTGTACTTGACAGTATCCAACAACAAGAGAATTTAAAAATCAGCCAGATCTGCACCACTGAGTTAGATATAAAGCAGGTAGATACTCTCAACTCTCAGGTTTCTGAATTCTCAGAAATCTTTTTCTGAAGACATAAAATATGAGTAAGCTAGATTGCATTATCTTGATGATAATTAAGTGCTTGAGAATTGCTTCAAAATTAAGTTTGGAAAGTGCCAAAGATGACAAAGATAAAAGGAAATATTGCCTACGGTTACATGTTGACTGATTTCCAAGCCTGGGAAAGAGATTCTGACACTGGATACAATGATGGCTACCATGCAGGTGGGTGGCAGTTAGTATTTTGAAACTAAGAATGCCTCCAATGGTACATCTGTGGGTGGATTCCAACATTACATCCTGGGTATTCAATAAGCAAGGTAAGCACAGGTTTATTTGTGCTTACTTACCTCACTCACTGGGTTCTCCATCATAGTCAAGGATAGTGAATATGAAAAGAGGCTTTGATTCTGTAATAAAGTTCTATGGAATTAGAAGAGTTACAAATGTCAGTCATACCTAGAAGCAAAATATTTTATGTCTGGCATGAAAAATATGTAATTGTTCATTATAGAATATTAAGTAAGCCTGAGCATTCCTTGCTTATTAGATAATCTAGCTCTGCTGGGTGTTCACTCTGCCACTGTGGATCAACTTTTCCCTGTAGGAGATGTCCAGGGAGGTGCCTTCAATCTGTGTAGGTGCAAAGCTGTTTCCTTTACATGATGGTAGGAGTGCAAAGTAGTCCTGAGTGAGGACTGGTTAAATATTTAGCTATTAAACAAAATGTTGACAGTTCAAACATAGTTACCTTTTCACGGGAGAAAGCTGTGGCAATCTGCCAAGAAACATAATGGGGTGGTTCTACTCTGTCCTCTCACATAGCTACAAATCAGAATCAAGGAAACAACAGCAAATGGGTCAGAAAAGCCAGGTTTTGCTATTTTGTTTCTTTTTTCTTCCCTTTTATGTCTAGATAATACACACGCTTCTCAATCTACTGTAGAATATCAGGAAGATAGCATTGAAGAGGAATGGATGGGTTTGCTCGGATATCTTTCCAGAATCTCTTTTTGTAAAAAAAAGAAAGGTAAGTGACAGGGAGAGTGCTTTTGCTTCCTCCCCGCCCCCTTCCCTTGGCCCAATTTTAAAAACACTATTTATTTTCTTTTGGGTTTTAAGATTCAGTCCAGGAGGCACTAGACGCTGGTTAGACTAGAGGAGGCTACGTGTTCTAGCTCTTAACTTCTCATGTTCATTAGAATGCAAACTCTTCCTGTTTCAGGAAAGTTATTATTAAGGGTCCAACACTAAGGGAGGTGGGTGATTAAGTGTTCCTGATTTTAACAAACCTGAGGAGTTTCAAACTACAGAAGGAATTAAGGTTCAAAAAATAATTTTATAGTGATATAGTGCCTTACTATATATATAAAATATATATATGAAGAATATATCTATAAAGAATATATTTATAAAGAATACATATATAATATGTATAAAGAATTAATACTAGAGTTTCTAGATCAATGCAAAAGCCACAGAGAGATGTTCATTATTTCTTAGTTTGAGTTACCATTTGCTACTGCTCCATGTTTCATATTCATCTCAAAGTGGACGTATGTGGAACTTTCCCCAAAGTTTCCTTTTTCTGTCTTTTCTTAGATTACCGTAAGACATACAGAAAACATGTGAGAAGCAGATTCCAGCATATTGAAGACAGAAATGCCCGTCTAGGTGAGAGCGTGAACCTCAACAAACGGTATACCCGGCTACGCCTCGTCGAGGAGCACCCCAACCAGAAGGAGAGGGAGCAAGAGCTGCTGGCGATTGGTCAGACTGCAGCCAAGATCAGGGACAACTCTGTGAGTTCCATCAAGATAGAACTCCTGTTTGAGCCTGATGACGACAATGCAGAGCCTGTACACACGGTGGTGTTCCAGGGAGCAGCAGGCATTGGGAAAACAATACTGGCCAGGAAAATTATGTTTGACTGGGCCTCCGGGAACATTTTCAAAGACAAATTTGACTATCTGTTCTACATCCACTGTCGGGAGGTGAGCCTCATGACACGGAGGAGTCTAGGAGACTTGATCATTAACTGTTGTCCTGACCCAAACCCTCCCATATCCCAGATAGTGAGAAAACAGTCCAAGATCCTGTTCCTCATGGATGGCTTTGATGAACTCCAAGGAGCCTTTGATGAACAAGCAGGAGAGTCCTGCAGCGACTGGCAGAAGGCAGAACGAGGAGACATTCTCCTGAGCAGTCTTATCCGAAAGAAGCTGCTTCCGGAGGCCTCCCTGCTCATCACCACGCGACCTGTCGCCCTAGAGAAACTCCAGCACTTATTGGACCGTCCTCGCCATGTAGAGATCCTTGGTTTCTCAGAAGCCAAGAGGAAGGAATATTTCTTTAAGTATTTCTCAAATGAGCACCAAGCCAGGGAGGCGTTTCGTTTAATTCAGGAGAACGAGATCCTCTTCACAATGTGTTTTATTCCCTTGGTTTGCTGGATTGTGTGCACTGGACTGAAGCAGCAGATGGAGAGTGGTAAATCGCTTGCTCAGACATCCAAGACCACCACTGCCGTGTACATCTTCTTTCTCTCAAGTCTGCTGCAGCCCAGTAGAGGAACTCAGAAGCATCATCACTCTGTCAACCTCCGGGGGCTCTGCTCTTTAGCTGCCGATGGAATCTGGAACCAGAAAATCCTCTTTGAGGAGTATGACCTCTGGAATCACGGCCTGCAGAAGGACAATGTGTCAGCTTTCCTGAGGGTGAATCTTTTTCAGAAGGGAGTGGACTGTGAGAAGCTCTATAGCTTCATTCACTTGACTTTCCAGGAGTTCTTTGCTGCCATGTACTACCTGCTGGAAGAGGAGGAGGAGGAGATAGAAAGCAAGAACCTATCACGGAGTTGTTTGAAACTTCCCAACATGACAGTCCTTCTGGAAAATTATGGCAAATTTGAAAAGGGGTATCTGATTTTTGTTGTCCGTTTCCTTTTTGGCCTTGTAAACCAGGAGAGAACCTCGTACTTGGAAAAAAAACTAAGTTGCAAAATATCACAGCAAATCCGGCACGGGCTGCTCAAATGGATAGAAGCTAAAGCCAAGGCCAAGAAGCTTCAGATCCAGCCCAGCCAGCTGGAGTTGTTCTATTGCTTATATGAGATGCAGGAGGAGGACTTTGTGCAAAGGGCCATGGACCATTTCCCCAAAATTGAGGTCAACCTCTTTACTAGAATGGACCATGTGGTGTCTTCTTTTTGCATTGAGAACTGTCGTCGTGTGGAATCACTTTCCCTGGGTTTTTTTCACAATTTGTCCAATGAGGAAGAAGAGGAGGAAGAGGAAGGACGACAACTGCAAAATAACTTGACCTTGGTCAAGTGTGTCTCCCCACGTTCACATACTTCTTGTTTTTACCCGTAAGAAAATGTAACTTTATGTGGGGGATGGAGCTTGACCTCTCTCTCATTACCTTTTGCCCGTCACTCTCTCACCCTTCCTTCTTCTCAATTGTCTTTCAAATGTAATTGCCAATAAAGCAGTCTCTGTGGAGTCAATTCTGACTCACAGCCGCCCGATGCAAGTCAGAGTAGAACCATGTCCCAGAGGGCTTTCAGTGGCTGGTTTTACACCCACAGATTGTCACGTCTTTCTTTGACAGTACCTGTGGGTGGACTAAAACCTAAGTCATAATGTCAGTAAAATGAAGTGGCTGAGTTATCTAATCTCTGAAGTCCCTCTCGAGTTTAACATTCAGTGATTCGTGAATGAGAGCATCTTAGTTTCCTAGGGTTGCCATTAGAAAATTCCACAAAGTGGGTGGTTTTAAAGAACAGAAAAGATCTAGAAAGAAGCACTGGTGGTGCGGTGTTTAACAGTCTCACGTTCACACTGGCACAGGATAAGGCAAGGTTCAGATCTGTGACTCACAGGGTCGTTGTGAGCCACAGTTGACTTAACATTACCTAACAATGTCGACCAAAAGGTTGGCAGTTCAAATCATCAGCTGCTCCATGGAAGAAGATAGGAATCTCTTCCTTTGTTTGTAGCCTCAGAAACCTGATGGAAGGTTGCTGTAAATTGGAACCAACTCAATATCAGTGAACTTTTCTTTTACAAATTTTCTATTTCTGTAGGTCAGAAGTCCAAATTTAGAACATGCCATGGTCAAATTCTTTCTGCAGTCTACCTAGGGAAAATCTTTCTTGTCAATTCTAATTTTCATAGTCCAGAGTGTCACCTGGCTGCCCTTGGATTGTGGATGTGTCTTCACATGGTGTCTGTCTCCTCCAGTGTATGACACTTTATGCCTGTTCCCTGCTATTGTAACATGCAGCTCAGAAGGAATTAGGGCCTGTTCAATGACATCCTTCAATGAATGACATCTTTATTTTATAGAAAGAGGAGGGGGGGAACCCATTTCCAAATAGGGTCACAACCATAGATAAAGAGATAAAGAGTTAAAAATATCATTTTAAGGGATCAAAAGTTACCCTGTATCAGGAATTGACCACCATGGTTGATAGAGGCATACATTGTGTGAATCCAGGGATTCAGCCTCTCTGGTGGCCTAGTGGTAAGAAGCTGTGCTGCAATTCCAAAGGCACACAATTTGAATCCACCACGTACTCTGTGGAGAAAGGATGAGCAGTCTCTTCCTGTGTGATTTACTGCCTCTGAAAACCCACTGGAGGGTCAGCTAGGATTAGTTTCAACTTGCTAGCAATGAATCTGAGGTTTGCATTTGATAAGACAAGGAGAAAAATGATAGGATGAAAATTAAGAGGAAGAAAGTACCCTTTAACTGTCAGTACTGGGTTTTGGCACCCCTACATGGATGGCCTCTTTATTCATCTTTCAGACATCAGGGACCACCTACTGGGTCTGTGGCAATGACTGAGATCCAGCTCCTGTCCAGTGGGAACTTGGAGCCTCATCAAGGAGATAGTTGAGGGGGAAATGAAGAGAGCAGAGAATCAGGTGCAACAATTAGGACAGTAACAGAAACCACCGGTGTACACGAGAGGAACCCTTGACTAACTGTGAGGGTTAGGGAAGGGGTCTCAAGGACTCACACCTCAGCCCAACTTTGAACCAAAAGGAGTGAATGTGGGAAAACAGGAAAGGAAATAGGTTCAAAGAGCAGAAGATGGAAAAGTATTTAGAATAGTTAAAGTTAGAGCTTTTTAAAAGTACCTATTTACTGAAATCTATGTACCAGAACATGTGGCTTTGTATCTCCAGGACTAGGTATAATGTCAGACTGAGGAGTAAAGAAAAGAAGGAAAACCTGAGGGAGCTGAAAGCACTGAACAGTCAGGCAAAGGGACAGGTCCACTCCCTTTTCACTATAAATGATGGGGGACTGGCTTTACCAAGACTCCCTCGGGTCTTTTCCATTCCTAGGTGAATGATGCTTAATTTGGAGATATTTTTCCCTTTCAATATTTTCTTATTTTCAGGAATATTTTCTTTTTACTACTCTTCAGTTTGTAAATCAATGATTTTTCATTCAGTTGTTCATAGATATTTGATTTTATAATATTAATTGTTGTTGTTGCTGCTGATATTGTTGTTGTTGTTAGGTGCCTTCAAGTCGAGTATGACTCACAGCAACCCTGTGAACAAAGGTCTGAACCCTGTTCTATCCTGCATCATCCTCACATTTCCTGATTAATTATGGTGGGTTAATGTAGTAATTCATTATAATATTTAATCAAATTCTCATTGAATATTGTCTTTCCCTTCCAACTTACCCATTTATTAATTTTTTGCACCCTTATTCTTCTTGTTAACCCTCCAAAATTGATTCTATTTGTGTGTAAACCTTTCCTTAACTTTGTATTATAACAGTGAACGATGTTGTGCTGTTTCTTAATCCCTGGAAGCTTTTCTCTGAATTGGTACCAGCTGCTCCTGGCCCCCTCACTTCGGTTTGATAGAGAAACGGATTCTTCCCTCCCCTTCTCCTTTTCTGTCTTGTAGTTTGGTGAACTGCTGCCTCACTTCCAGCTTTTGCAAGGGCCTTTTCTCAGTTCTGAGCACTAACTCAAGCCTTACTGAACTGGACCTCAGTGACAATACTCTAGGGGATGTAGGAATGAAGGTATTGTGTGAAACGCTTCAGCATCCCGGCTGCAACATTCAGAGGTTATGGTAAGTTTCTCACCGTCTTTCTCTTCCCTGTATGTGTAAACATGCACACTTGTGAACACAGGCACGTGAGCTTGACTGAGTGACTGAGGACTAGGATGAACGAAAGGACTACGGTGAGGAAGCACAAGGGTTTGTCAGCAAATTTTACATAGGGAAAAATGAAGAAAAACTAACAAAGGCATCTTTTCTTGGCATTTAAGAAAAAGACCATGGTCTTTGATTCTGCACAGGTGATGTGATGAGAATTTGAGAGCTTGATCATCTAGAACTACTTGGGCTGGATACCATCACAGCACATTTAACTGTAACAAGGAAATTCCTACAAGTTTCTTATTGGCCTGCCTTGAACTTGCCTAGGCAATACTTCTAACTTTAGTTAATTACACTTTCTGTTGTGTGTGCAGGTGTTTGCATTTTTGCAGAATTACATAGTCGTTGTTAAAGCACAGTATTCATCAGTTGTTTGATTTTTCCAATTTATTGTTATTTTAATGAAGGTTTACAGAGAAGTTGGGTTTTCATTCACTCACTGTTTTCATTGCTGTATGTTTTCCTCCCTTCCTCTCCCTTCTCCCTCACCTAGTCCACTTTACAAAACTTCTCTTATTTTAGATTATTAATTGCCATACATATAAGGTTTAATCATGAATTCCTTTTGATAGTTCTTCCCTTCATCTGTTTCAATCCATTACTCATGTTTTTAAGCCTCTGGCTAGTTTTCATACTTTTAACTCCTCTCTCCATATTCATCTTTGAATTGTGTTCAAAACCATCTTTGTGCTATTTAAAGTCATCTTTGAATTGTGTTGAACTGTCAAAGGAGAAAACAAATCTGTCTTGAGGGAAGTGTAATCAGGGTGTTCCTAAGAGGCAAGAATAGTGAAACTTCATCTCACCTAGTGTGGAGGTTTTGTCAGGAGATGCCAGCTCTTGGTAAAAGATATTATTCTTGGAAAAGTAGAGGGTCAGCAGAAGAGAGGAAGACCCTAAGTGAGATGAACTGGCACAGTGACTGCAAAAATGGGCTTGAGCAAGGCAGAAATCATATGACTAGTTCAGGATGTTGTTACTGTTGTTATATGCTGTTGAGTCACCTGTGGCCCATAGTGAACCTATGTACAGCAGCTCAGAAGACTGCCCTGTCCTGAGCCAGTATCACTGATTCTGACAGACATTGCCCCAATTTAGTATATCAATCCATCTCATCTGGTGTCTTCCTCTCTTGCACTGTCCCTCTACCCTTCCAAGCATGATGTCCTTCTCCAAGGACCAGTCTCTCCTGGCCATGTGTCCAAAGTATGTGAGATGGAGCTTCAAAATCCTAACCTCCAAAGAGAAATTTGGTTTCACCTTCTCCGAGACAGATCTATTTGTTTGCTTGGAAGCCCATGGTATATTGAAGACTTTTCTCCAGCACCACAATTTGAAAGCATTGATTCTTTTTCTGTCACTCTTAGCCATTGTCCAGCTCTCTGACATGTAGCAAGTAATTGTGAAGACCATGCCCTGGATTAGGCACACCTTAGTTCCTAGAATGATATTGTTGCTTTTCAGTACTCTGGAGAGGTCCCTGAAAGCAGATTTTCCCAATGCTATTCATCTTTTGTTTTCCTGACTGCTGGTGTTAAGAGTGTTGTTTGTGGAGCCAAGCAAGCAAGCTTTTAATCTCTTGTTCATCGAGTCACTTGGAATCATGATCTAATGAGACAGCACTTAATAACAGCTTTAGAATTATTCCACATTCATCCCCAATTTCTCCCTCATCATAGTGAATGTCCTCCTGTGATTGTTGAGAATCATGAGAGACTCAAATAGGAAAACATGATTGTATTTTCTGAATAAGTAGATATCTGGTCGTCCATATACCTGTAGTTGGAGTTAGAGTGAGAAATGGTCCAGATGGCTCCAGGACATATTAACTATTGTTCTGGAAAGAAGAAAGAAAGTTTCCTTTGCCTAATGGCAGGGATATATTTTTGGAGGTGGTAGAGAGGATGTTTGTGTGGTTAAAAATAAAGAAAGAGAAAGAAAGAAGGATCTAAAGTTATTCCTTCAAATGAGTACTAAGATTAAATCATCAAACAAAGGTTTGCAGTACAAAACTGGTATAGATGGGTACAGTCCTACTGCATCCAGCTAAAGGGAGCTTCAATTATTAGGACTTGGAATTGAGAGTACATATAGAAAGAAGGTCTACTATGCTTTTTCATTTACAAAACAGATACACGGACCGCCAAGAAAACAAATAGGTCTGTCTTGCAGAGGATGAAACCAAGTTTCTCCTTGGAGGCTAGAATTTTGAAACTCCATCTCACATACTTTAGGCACGTGGCCAGGAGAGACTGGTCCTTGGAGAAGGACGTCATGTTCAGAAGGGTGGAGGGACAGTGCAGGAGAGCGAGAACCTGGAGGAGATGGATTAATACAGTACAGGGGCAATGGGGGTAGATGTGTCAGAGTCAGTGAGACTGATTCTGGACAGGGCAGGGTTCAGAGCTGTTGTAAATAGGGTCACTATGAGTCACAGGGACTCAACAACACATAACAACAACAACCATTAATCTTTCTGAGGGTTCATTCCAGTTGCTACTATGTGTTCTTGAGTTGATACTGGTTCATAGTGACCCTATGACCAACAGAATGAAGCTCTTTTTGGTTCAGTGTTTTTCTCACAATATGCTTCAGCACATTGTTGCAGCCACGATGTCGGTTATATCATTGAGGAGCTTCTTCTTTTTGGCTCATCCTCTACCAGACATGATGTTCTCCCTCAGGAATCAGTTTATCTTAATACCATAGCCAAAGTATATGAGACAAATCTTGCCATTATTTCTAAGAACCCTTCTAGCTACATTTCTTCTAAAACAGATTTGTTTATTCTACTAACACTCAAAACTCCTAGTTGTAAGAATATGAGTTGCAATCCCAAAGGCTTATGGTTCAAATCCACCAGTTGATCCATGGGAGGAAGAAAGACAGCTTCCTCCTATGCAGTTTACTGCCTCAGAAAAACTGCTGGAGGGTCAGCTATGAGTCAGTTCAGACTCAACAGTAAACAACAATAACAACAACTAACAGTCAGTGTATGGTATATTCTATAGTAACACCATATTTAAAGGTATCAATTATTTTTTTTGTTCTTGTTGTTTTTGTTATGTACCATTGAGTCAACTATGGTCCATAGTGAACCTATGAACAACAGATCTGAACCCTGACCTAGCCTGTGCCAACCTCACAATCTCTGACATACTTGAGCCCATTGCTGCAGTCACTGTGTCAATCCATCTGGTTGAGGCTCTGCTCTTTTACTGACCCTCCACTTTTCCAAGCACAATGTCCTACCCAAAGAGCAACCTTTCCTACAACATGCCCAAAGTATGTGAGACAAAGGCTTACTATCTTTGCCTCCAAGGAGCACTCTGGCTGCACCATCAGCAAGATATATCTGCTTACCCTTTGGCAGATCATAGGATAGTTAGAACTCTTCTCCAATAATACAGCTCAAAGACATCAATTATTCCATCCTCCTTATTCATTGTCCAGCTCTGAGATGCATAAGAATGATTGAAAAGACCATGGTCTGAATCAGACACACTTTAATCCTCAAACTGACATCATTTCTCCTCAATAATTTGGAGAAATCACTGACTACAGATTTTCCCACCACAATGCATCTCATAATCTCCTAACTGCTGGTACCAAGGTTGTTGATTGTGGATTGAAATAAGATGACATCATCGACAACTTTAATCTTCCCTCCATTTACCATTATATTGTCTTTCGATCTGGTGATGAGAAGTTTTGCTTTCCTTACATTGAGTTTCTTGATATTCTTGAGTTGCAAGAAGACATCAAAGATAATATCATCCATGCAGAGAGCAAAAGGTCATTACCAAGACAGGAGAAAGACCCCAAAAAAAGTCAGAAGAAACTCTGAAGCTTGCACAAGAACATTGAGAAACCAAAACAAATTAAACAGATGCTGAAGTAAAAGAACTGAACAGATTTCAAAGGGCAGCTTGAGAAGATAAAGCAAAAGATTATAATGGAATATGCAGAAAGCTGAAATTGAGAATAAAAAGGGAAGAACACCCTTGGCATTTCTTAATCTGAAAGAACTGAAAAACAAATTCAAGCCTTGAGTTTCAATTTTGAGGAATGTTACAGGAAAAATCTTGAATAATCCAGGAAGGATCAAGAGAAGATGGAGAGAGTACACAGAATTACAGTACCAAAAAGAATTGGTCAACACAGAAATATTTCAGGAAGTATCATATCATCAAAAGCCAATGGTAATGAAGGAAGAAGTTCAAGATGCCGTGAAGGCATTGACTAAAAAGAAGAGCCCAGGAATCAATGAGATTCTAATTGACATATTTCATCTAACACATCCTATGCCAGGGAATTTGGAGGAGAGTTGCCTAGCCAATTGACTGGAAAAGATCCATATTTGTTTCCATTCAAAAAAAAAGGTTATCCAACAGAATGTGGAAACTATATTGAAAAATATCATTAATGTCATATCTAAACAAAAAACAACTAGTACAATACATAGACAGAGAATAGCTGAAAATTCATGCTGGATTTAGAAGAGACCATGGCACTGCGGATGTCATTGCTGATATCAGATGGATCCTGCCTGAAAGAAAAGAATGCCAGGGGAAAAAAGATCTATTTTTGCTTTATTGACTATTAAAAGGCTGTATGGATCACAAAATAAATCATGGCTAACATTAGAAGAATGGGAATCACAGAACACTTAATTGTGTTTGTGCAAAATCTGTGCCTAGACCAAGAGGTTGCTTGCGAGCAAAGCAACACTACATGGTTTATAATTAAGAAAAGTGAGCCTCTAGGTTGTATCCTTTCCCCATACCTATTCAATCTGTATTCTGAGCAAATTATTTGAGACACCTGACTATATGAAGAAGAATGTGGCATTAGGATTGGAAAAAGACTCATCAATAATATTCATTTTGTAGATGACACAACCTTGCTTGCTGAAAGTGAGGAGAACTTGAAGTATTTGCTGCATAAGATCAAAGAATACAGCCTTCAATACAGATTGGATCTCAACATCAGGAAAATGTCTTTGGTTTTAGGAAACTGAAATGCCATTGATTGGGTCAGATGCACCTTTGTCCCCAAAGTGGCATCTTTGCTCCTTAACATTTTGAAGACATCCTTTACAGTACATTTTCCCAGTGCACTGAGCCACTTAATTTCTTGCCTCCTACTTCCAAGGATGTTGATTATGTGTCCAAGAAAAAGAAAATCTTTTACATAAATCTTTCCTCTGTTTATTTTTATTTTGTTTACATGTATAATGTTGAGAACTTTTGTTTTCTATATGTTGGCATGCAATCCACACCAAAGGCTGTTTGATCTTTCTTCATTTTCAGCAAACAAGATTGTGTCTTACACATATCACAGATTTTAAATGAATTTCCGGTTCTGAAGCCTCATTCCTCTTCATATAATCTGACTTCTTGGATTATTTGCTCATCATAGAGACTGAATAAAAATGGCAAAACAATCTAGTCTGTCACACAATTTTTCGAGTTAATCCACAAGTATCCCTCTTGAACTTTTTTAATGACTGGATTTTAGTCTATAAATAAGTTTATAATGGGTCTGGCATTACTTTCTCAAAGGAGTTTACTGGTTAGTACATGGTAATTGTGGTCTCAAACTGTGAGCTAGTCAGCCTGACAGCAATTTCCTAGGATGTCATGGTGTTTATTCAGTAGTTTTCTGACAAAATTATATGTCAATAAAACATGTTATACTTTTCCCTTTGCAATATGATAAAACTAGTGGCTTGGTACTGAAACAAAAAATAGAGTGTCAGGCAATTATAGAAAAGATTATGTTATGATTCTATTTCTATTCTTTGTGTGAAGGTTAGGACGGTGTGGTCTTTCCCATGAATGTTGCCTGGATATATCCTCAGTCCTGAGCAACAGCCAGAAGCTGGTGGAACTGGATCTGAGTGATAATGCCCTGGGAGATGCTGGGGTCAGACTTCTGTGTGTGGGACTGCGACATTTGTTCTGCAATCTACAGAAGCTCTGGTGAGTCTGAAAGGAATTATTTTATGAAGGATAAGACCATGGCTTTCATGAAGGACAAAAGACTAAAGTCCTAGTGTGAGATAGCTCTGGTTGGTAGAAGGCTTTCTGCGTATTTTTCTGAGTGTCTGACAGGTCTGTTATGTTTGTAATGAGGAAAACCTCATACTAAGCTCTAGACAGGAAAATAATCTATAAAAGTTTTACTGCCTGCCTTTAAAGTATTTACTGTCTAGCTGACAAAACAAAACAAAACACTTATGATGTAACAATTTAGGAGAATTTTGGAACTTCACAACAATATAGCTCTCAGTCTTCACCCTAGTAGATAAAAAAAACATTAAGCTAAAACAATGGCTGGGGTGAGGAGAGAAGAAGATAATGAACACTCATGACAATGGAACAGACTCAAAGCTGACACATCAATAGATTTTTCTGGAGGTTATAAACAGCCTGGGGAAAGAATGCCTCTTTTTCTCTCTCATAGCTGCTGATAGATTAAAACTGCCATAAAGAAGCATCTTTCGGTTAGCAGTGCAACTATGTATAGCCTATGCCCCAAAACAGATTCTTCCTACTGTATGGAGTCCTTCTCTGAGCATTTCTGGGATTTTTATGGCACAAAGGAGATGCTTAAAAATGATAGATACCCCTAAAAAATTTTCCTAGAAGTGCAAAACAAAGGTATAAAGTCTTTGGACCGAAAATAAAAAAGTAGTGGCTATCTGAGAAGAGCAGTGTAAGTTTAGGATGAACTTAGAATTATTTTATTTGGTATTTTTTTTTATTTCAAATGTTAGTATAGAATACAAGAGACATTTATAAAGAAAACTACAAAACATTGCTATAAGAAATAAGAGAGTTAACTAAATGGGAAAATATTCCATGTTCACGAATAGGGAAACTCAACTTAATAAAAATGGCAATCCTACCAAAAACAATCTACTTGCTTAGTGCAATCTCAATTCAGATCCCAAACTCATATTTCAAAGAGCTAGAAAAAGCAATTGGCAGGTTTATTTGGAAGGGAAAGAGACCCTAGATAAGCAAAGCTTTTCTGAAAAATAAAAAGGAAGTGGAAGGCATAGCACTCCTGGATGTCAAAACCTACTACACAGTTATAGGAACCAAAACACCATGGTATTGGTACAATAACAGGCACATAAACAAGTGAAATAAAACTGAGAACCCAGAGATTAATCCGTCTACCTACGGTCAATTTATATTTGACAAGGAATCAAAACCTATCAAATAAGGAAATGACAGGCTCTTTAAAAAATGGTGCTAGTAAAACTGGAAATCTACCTGCAGAAAACTGAAATAGGATCCACATTTCATACCATACACAAAAAATCAAATCAAAGTAGATCAGAGACCTAGAGGTAAAGCCAAAAACCATAAAGATCATAAGAGATAAAATGGGACTAAACTTAGAAGCCCTGGCATATGGCATAAATAGGCTTGCAAATATAGCCAGAAACTCACAACCAGGAGAGAATGAAATTGATGAATGGGACCTTCTAAAAATTAAATCCCTGTCTGGATCAAAAATGTTTTCTAGTAGGATGAAAAGAAAACCTACAGACTGGGAAAAAACATTTGGTAATGACATCTTACACAAGGGTCTCATAATGAAAGTTTACAGGATACTAGAATACTACAGGGCCTCCACAAGGGAAAAACCTATTGATAAGCAGTAGCATAATGGGCAAAAGACATGGAAAGATGTTTCACAAAGGAAGACATTTGGATGGCCAACAGACACATGAAGAAATGTTCAAAATCATTGGCTCAAAATAAGAGAGATGCAAATCAAGATAACAAGATACAATCTCACTCCAGTAGCAGTAGCAAATTTTAACAGAACATCAAGCAATAAAATGTGACCGTAATGTGAAGGGATTAGAACTCTCATACACAGCTGGTGGGATTGTAATGTGGTACAACCACTCTGGAAGGCAGTTTGGCATTTCCTCAAAAAGCTGAACATAGAAATCCCCTATGTCCCAGCTTTTGCACTACTAGTAATATATTTCTATATTTCAAAGAAAATAGAACTAAGACACAAGTGGAGATTTGTACACCTATGTTCATAACAGGGCATTCACAATAGCAGAATATGTAAACTGCTAAAATGTTCATTAACAAATTAATGGATTAAGAAATTATGGTACATTCACAAAATGGAATACTATGCAGCACTAAGGAGCAACAATTTCATAAAATTCTATATAACAGAGTCTAAAGAGCACTACGCTGGGAACCAAGATAATGGCAGTGGAGGAAGCAACATGAGGAACTGGAGGTACAGCAAGCCGTACAGACATGGGCCACCACAACCCTCTACAGCCTGCAGTTTATCTATAATGGAACAATTAAATTCCTGATTACTGGTCTTCAATATGGATTGAGGCTCAACATCAAGAGGACAGATTCCTGAAAAATAATAGGTAACCTTAACACTGAGTCTTGCTCCAGAAATGAACCCTGAGCCCAGTTCCAGAGATAAAGGGGAAATATAACAGCCAGCCAAGGAAGCAAAGGAGGATTTAGCCTCAAGGTTCAACTAGCCATCCCCACTGGACTCACATCAGGAAAATATTTTCTAACCAGACATGAAGGCATGCCGCTTCAACCTAGGACCACCAGTAAAGTGTTAAAGTGTGTTCCCCTTCACCCTTCACCTCAATGCCACTGTTCAGCATGAAGAAGCCAGAGAGTCTGCACTTCATTCCCAAATGAGAAACCCACAGTGAATAAGATAATTTCTTTGTTAAAAAAAAATAATAATAATTCTATCAATCACTATTAGACTATGCTCACCATTACCCTGTCTTTTCTGGTCCCCACTGGATCTTTCTCATTTCTTTCACCCACTCCCTCCACCCACCGAACTGTGCAGCCCTGTGATTTCAACCCTGCCCATCCTCACTCTTCTGCCCCCAACCCTTACCCTCTTGTATCCCCACACATGTTTTAAAAAAAAAATGGGACAAAAAGAAAATAATAAAATGTTTTAAAAAGAGCACTATGACGAGTGAACTAATTCTATCTTATAAGGACAAATACTGCATGAGACCATAACTGTAAAAATAGAAGGACAACTAGTAAGATGTATATAAATATCCAAAGGGGGAGGGGCAGAAAAAGGGCAAGGGTGGAAATCACCAGGATAGTAGAGATTACTGGACAGATGAGAGGAAGTGAAGGAATAGAAGATTCCAAGGAGACTCAAAAAGAAAAGGGGGGAGGGGTAATAACTAACATATGTCAGTATTAATTAACTACATAAAATACAATTTGTATTAATGACTATGAAATACAATGTAAATGAATGATTATATAAAATACAATGTATATTAATGAAACATAATATATATGAATTCTTGTATCCAAAACAATTTTTAAAAGTTAATATAATCTGGAACAAAGGGTGCATTGCAGAAAGGGTTGAAGGGGGGGCATGAAAATAGAACCTTTTTTATGTTTAAAAAAAGTTAAGATAGTATTTAGGTTCAGTTTCATCATTTGTCCACTAGGCTAGACACAAAAGCAAGTGTAAAGGTGTGAACCTTCTTAGCTTAAGGTGCGAAGTGGTAGAGAGAGGGGACCATAACACTGTACCTTATCTATGGAAGGTTGGTCAGCTGCTGTCTCACGTCAGATTGCTGTCAAGATCTTGCATCAGTCCTAAGCACCAGCCAATCTCTGACTAGACTCTACATGGGAGAAAACGCTCTGGGAGACTCAGGAGTTCAAATTTTATGTGAAAAGATAAAGCATCCACAATGTAACTTACAAAAATTGGGGTAAGTCTTCTTGGTTTTCTTGGCAGTTTAACTTTTCTTCAGTTGTTTGGGAACTATGGATGAAAGCTTTAGCATAGTGTTTAGGGTCAGTTAAGGAGAAAGCAAAATTTGATGTAGTTTGAAGCATCATATTCATATAACATATACTATTACTACCAAGATCTTTCATGGTCCCTGAAGGCTGCAAACAACAAGCACAGATGCTAAGCAAAAAGCTGGAAGTTTGAATCCATGCAATGGTTCTTGAGAAGAAAAGCTTAATGTTCTACTGAAAAATCTACTATCAAAAATCCTATTGAGTACAATCCTACTATAACACATCATAAATGGGGTAAACTTGATAGAAACTGATATTTAGAATTATGGAATGTTGTTGTTGTTAAGTGGTGTGGAGTTTAATACAACTCGTAGTGATCATATGAACAGATTTAAACCCTATTCTATGTTATACCACCCTCATCATCTCTGAAACACTCAAGACCATTGCTGGAGTCACTTAGTCAATCCATCTCCTTAGGGATCATCTTCTATTTCACTGACCCTCCACCTTTCCAAGTATGATGTCACTCTCCAAGGAATAGCTTCTGCTAAGAATGAAAGATGAAACTTAACCATCTTTGCCTTTAAGGAGCAGTCTGGATGCACTTTTTCTAAAACATACATATTTGTTCTTTTAGTAGTCCTTTATAAATGAGAGAATATTAAATTGAAAGATAGGCTAAGAGTTGTGAAATTGAATTGAATTTAAAATGAATGAATAAAAGATTGTCTTCTAAGACATTTCTGTGAATAGCTACATGTATGAGCTTTTCCAAGCATACAGGTCTTGGCTGTTCAGGATGGCCTTTACAGTAGGATAGAAGGGAGTCCTTACACTAGACAACACCCATCTTCTTGATATAGGTCATCAGTCTTTGTTCTGCTCCCTGAATTCAGATCTCAATTTTGTAGAGACAACACACACATTTCAAGCTTTCTTATATCTTACCTAAGTGCCTCTAATTCCTCAATCTAGTGTAGATTGAGGGAGCTCTGGTGATTAATGGTAAGGAGTTTCACTGCCAAGCCAAAGGCACACGTCTGAATGCACTAGCTGCTCTTCAGGACAAAATTGGGCAACCTCCTTCCATTCAAATTACTGCCTCTGAAAACCCTCTGGAGGATCAGCTATGATCAGATTCAACAGTATGTAACAATGTAGATTGAGGAGTCTGGTGGTCAGATGGTAAAGGGTTTGCTGCCAATCCAAAAGCATGAAATTTGAAACCACCAGCTGCTTCCATGGAAAAAGATAAGAAATTTCCTCCCATGCAATTTGCAGCTTCTAATTACCTACCTATTGGAGGCCCAGCTATGAGTTGGTTCTGACTCAATAGCAAATAATATAGATCAAAAGTTTTACCAATTTGTTCATGCTCTCCTAGATTGTTGTTGTTTTTCAAGATGCAGTCAAATCAGAACTAATTCATAGCTAATCCTTCAGTGGCTTTTCAGAGGCTGTAAATTGCCCATCTTTCTCCTTCAGAATAGCTGGTGGATTCAAACCAATTATCTGTTCCCTCTCCTAGATTGGAGCTAGTCTGTTAATATTCTACTTTCTAATACAGGTCTCAGATTGAGCTGCTGAGTACTCTTGAACATGCATAATGTAATCTTAATCTTTTCTTTCTTTAATAAGATACTAAAGAGGGGCACCAGTAGCCTGGTGGTAAGAAGCTGTGTTGCCAATGCACAGGCATGTAGTTCAAACTTAACAGATACTTCATGGACGAAAAATGAGCAATCTCCTCCTGTGCAATTTGTTGCCTCTATAACCACTGGAAGGTCAGCTATGAGTTGGTTCTGACTCTATGACACATAATAACATATATACTATTCCTGGTGGGGCGTATTGTTCTATATTATTCAAGCAGCCACAGACATTTCTCAGCTCTTATTTGACAAGAGCTTTGTTCTTAGTTGCCATTGCATAGGCTCTGACTCTTAACGATCTTGTGTATAATAGAATAAAAATGTTGTCAGGTTCTGAGTCATCTTCATGACCTTTGCTACATTTGAACCCACTGTTGAGGCTCTTGTGTCACTGTGTCTCATTCAAAGACCTTCTTATTTGTCCTCTCTGATTTGTCCTAGAGATTGGCTTGTCCTGATGAGGTGTCAGAGCAAGTAAGCTGTAGTCTCACCATTCTCATGTCTATGGAATTTTCTGGTTGTATTTCTCCTAAGAGTGAGTTATTTGTTCTTCTAGAAGGCTGATATATATTGTAGTCTTAAACACCACTAGGTCAAATGCACCATGGTTATCAAAGTGATATCTTTGCTTTTTGTTGTTTTTTTGGGTTTTTTTCCTATAATTATATTTTATTAATTTTCATAAACATTTACAGAGATTTTGGGTTTCCATTCATTCATTGTTGCACTATTCTCTCTAC